AAAAAAGGACATTTGTGGAAGGAAAACTGATTGAATCAGCTTGAGAAGAAACACAGCATCTCGGATAAAATGTTGAGCAAAGACAGACCCTTCTGAAGAACTGAAATCTCCTATTTGAAGGCAGAGCACAGACTGACATGTGGTGTGGCTGCAATACATTGTGGTCCATCACTTAAATTTGTATGTGACTGTTTTCAGAATTTTGAAAGCATAAACTATAAATCAAATAACTAGGGACTACAGGATGATTAAAATAAGAGCTGTTAGGGTCATAGCTGAGGGAAAGGTTGGATTTTTGAGTTTCATTTTATAAGCTAGAGAGAGGACACTCCCCATGAAAAGGTCCTGATCTGAGAGGCATTAGAAGCTAGAGGTAGAGGAGATTTGAAGGAGTAGGAGATGATCAGAGAAAGACAGAAACTGGAGAGAAAGCTGAGCTCCAGAGAAGTCAGGGACAGAGAAGGCAAAGAGAAGAGCTATTTACAAAAGATGGGATAGAAGAGTGGATGTGAGCTGATAAAAGCTGACAAGCAGATTTTTCTGGGAGCCAATCCATCATGACAGGCATTATTTGGCTTGAAGCTGATTGACTAGAGAATGACAGGATTGCTCTCCAGTGCCATTTACAGCCTGGGAAAAGGAAACATCTCAGGAATCAGCTTTCCCCCTCTGCTTATCTCCGTCTTTAACCAGAAAGTGCAGCAGAAGACAACACAGGTAACATCAAGACAGGCTTTTCTTCTCTCAGGCTGTAGATGAGGAAACAGAAACCTAGAGATGGGAAAGTCACTTGTTCAAGGTCACACATCTTGATAATAACAGAACTAAGATGGCAATCCAAGTCTCCTGACCCTATAGTGCTCTACACCCACAGTCTCCAAAGTGAAGAGTATACACCTGAGGGCATAAGAAAGATTATCCACGAAGATGAGACAAGCCACTCACTTCCCGACAGGAAATGAACTTAAAATGCAGAAAGTGACATAGATTTTCAGACATGACCAATGTGAGAATTTTTTTTTTTTGCTTTACTGTGCAACTTTTTTTCTTTTTTCTTTCTTTCTTTTTTTTTTCTTAAAATGGGGGTAGGTGTAAGTAGGTACAGTGGATGTAGTGGGTATAGAGGGTGTAACAGATTGATTTTTTAAAAATGCTGCTTATTAAAAATAAAGGGAAGCTAGATGCAGTGGCACAGTAGATACAGTGCTGGGCCTGGAGTCAGAAAGACCTGAGTTTAAATCTGTTTCCTCATCTGTAAAATGAGCTGGAGAAGGAAATGGCGATCTACTCCAGTATCTTTGCCAAGAAAATCCCAAATGGGGTCACAAAGAGTCAGACAGGACTGAGCACAACAAAATTAAAAATAAAATAAACTGGAAAACTGGAAAAAATTAAGATTATCCATTGGCGTATACAAAGAAAACATTAGGACTTTCTTTTATTTTTAGTTTAAAAAAAACAAAATAGGCTTTACTAATATTTAATCCATGGCTTGATACTGGTGCCCTTACTAGAACCTCATGTTAGATGGTCACATATCACGTAATATATTCAAAGTATTATGAGGGAAAAATAGGAAGGAATTCTGCAATACTGAAAGGCTGATGGTAGTTCCTCACTCATGTCACTTTTAGCATTCTGTAACATACAGTATTAGTGTTTACATGTAGAATTAAATGGATTTTCATAAAATGAACAAGTGACTAAAAGGTAAAAATAATGAGTTATGACAAGAAGTTGGTCAAAAAATTCAAAATTATTTGAAGTAGGGATTTATATCCACTCATTAATGATGAATCTTATTCTGACTATGCTGTGTCTTGAGATAACAGTTGGTGATAGTATGAAATCAATATGATTAGCAGGATAATAAAAAACTAAGCTGTTGTTGCCCAAAAATGATGGGTGTCCCCTATAAAATCTTTCATATCTCCACTTGGAAAAATAATTTTCTAACTTGTTTAAAAATCTTCCAAATGCAGTTTCAATGGATTTGGAATCTATTTGTTAAAAAAAAAAAAATCTCAAAATGCAACAACTTCTGATTCATTTGCAAAAACAGCTGACTGACATAATGAAAGACAGAGATTTACTGAATCAAATCTCAACAAAAGCCTCTGTATAACTGGTGGAAGGGACTGAAAAACGAGTATAATGATTGAGTTGTAGCCAGTAGGCACTTCTTCCATTTGGATCTCTGTGTCTTTGTGAGATACTTTTTTCAGATATGATTACCATTAAAACTGAGTAGAGTAAGCTGACTTTAAAATCAGACCTTTGAATTGCTGTATCAAAAATCTTAAACCAAGATTTTCAAACAAATAAAGCATATTCAATCAAAATACTTTCTATCTTAACATTTTAAGTGAGAACAAAAAGATTTTTGTGCTAGTAATTTAAAATATAAAATAAATATTATTTCAAAATGTCATCCTTTATATTTCAATATAAATAGTACATTATATAATTTATATTTTATATTATATTAAATTATATATAAATATATAATTTATATTTTATATATCATAAATTATATATTTTAATATAATAGTACTTTATATAATTTATAAATAAATATGCATATATGAGGGATACCATTTCAATTTTTTTATATTCATGGTGGTGCGTGGTCAGAAAACCTCTACATCTTACCTATAGGTTTTCTTCAGTCAACTTCCTAGTACATGTGAAGGGAGAAAATTTACAAAAATTCTATTTACTTAAACTTTTTAAGAACATATCTCTCATGTAAGATGAGGCAATCCTGATATGTACAAGAAACCTAACCGAACTGAGATCATAATAATTTTGTAGTATAATATTTTGGCAGAACTGCATGAAGTAATTTATCTCACACCCAATGTAAGTCTCCTCTTTTTATGGTAATACATTTGACAACAAAAGAGTAGAATGATTTTTATGATCACCTTCACTGGCTTCCCAGTGAACAATGAGCCCGTTGCACTACTTTTAAAGGTTCTGGTCTGGTTCAGTTGAATAAGTCCCTTGTGATACTGTAACGCAATGCGAGCCGTCACTCCAGAACCAGTGGGGCTCCGGTCAACCTGTTTTGGAATAAACAAAAATGAGATACTTCACAAATGTAATCATCATACCCATTTATACTATATTGTGCCTCATCTATTTCAGAATGTTTTAACTTTTAAAATTCAAAGTCAGGTTTTTGACATGATAGGATCGTAAAAGCAATCTGGAACATTCTTGGTAAATAGTAAATTATCTTTTCACAGCTATTATATATTTCTTTTCTGTAGACCACAGGACATAGTTTACCTTTTATATGGTAAACCCCTTTTTGTTTATCTCAGGATCTAAGAAAAGAATACAGAGTTTACAATTGTATAATCTAATTTTCATAATTTTTAAATAAATTTCCTTTTATATTTCATTTTCAGTCTATTTATCATCCCTTCAATTGAAGCCATTAAAATGCAAAAATGTGAACAAAGTCCCTGTAGCCTACATTTCCTTATGAGTAACTTCCATGTATACAAGTGTCTTGTGATGATTAAAAAAGAAAACAAACAAACAAAAAAACTTGAGCATACTTTTAATTTACATTGCCTTCAAGTAAATACAGCACTCTATTCTTACACATTCTGAAGAAAACTGTTCTTTGCCTTTACCATATCCTTTCACCCAGCCCCATTCTCCTGGCCCATTTCCCTCACCCTACCTTCACTTGCCTTCATGCTTGGCTTTGCCCCCATGGTCTGCCATTTTAATGTTTCATTAGCTTTTATCTGATTTAGGTATCTTAGTTTTCTGCCCTTCTGTTTTTTTAGAAATAATTGTTGATACTTGTTTCTGTATAATTTGTACCATCTAATTTCCCTGCTCTTACTTCAGGGAAGTTGAGAAATACTGGAGAAAAATATCACAAAATTGAGCTGATGCTGCCCACTCTAAATTTATTATACCTAATTTCATCTAGTTCTTTGCTCCTTTACTATGCTTTCATTCTAACCCAATTCTTTCCCTCTCTCATTCCCCTTTACTATGCTTTCATTCTAACCCAATTCTTTCCCTCTCTCATTCCCCACAGTGATTGTTCCAAATCTTTTCTCTTCCAGCCCTCAATTTCACCCTGTACTTCCTACATCTAAAGCAGATGACCTAGATTCCTATAAGCTTCACTGAGAAACCTGGAGTATCCAACCTGACTTCCCTCAGTCACCTTCAACTCCTCACAACCTCTTAGCATCATCACTCTCTCTTCCATTCATCACAGAAGAGGTATACCTATTCTTCACTAAGGTTAGTACTTCTTTAGCCTCCTTGATCCCATTCCCTTCAAATTCTAAAAAAATCCTAAAAATTCTAAAATTCTAAAAAATCTTCCCCATAATCTTACAGGATCCAAATACCATCTTGCCTCTACCTTAAAGTGCTATATAAATACTAGCTGTAATCATCATCATCATCATCACATACTAGGGATAAAGAGACAAAAAAATAGTCCTTGCCCTCGGAGGAATTTATATATTTTTGAAGGTTGAATACAGATAAGCAAATACTAAATATAGCTAAAACAAATATAGATAAATTATATACTTGTATATAATTTATGTAATAGATATAAAATAAATGTAGACAAATGGTACGAAATTATATGATAGATATAAAACAAATATAGATATATAAAATATTTGTATATAATTGATATAAAACAAATATGAATAAATGGTATATTTGTATATAATATAGATAAAATAAACAAATTCTTGAGCCGGCAACAGGGTGTTTTTGGAGTGGGACTAGCAACTGGGGTAATCAAGGTAGGCTTCCCATAGGAAGTGAGGCTTGACTTGAGTCTTGAAGGAAGATAGGGATTCTACAAGGTGGAGGTAAGACAGGAATATATTCCAGACCTAGGAGATATTCCGTGCAAAGGAACATAGGTGGAGATGGAATGTCAGTTATGGAGAGCAGCAGTAGAACAGTTTGGCTGGAATACAGAATGTGTAAAAGGTAGTAATGTGCAATAAATCTAGAAAAGTAGTCTGAAGTCTGATTATGAAGGGCTTTTTAAAGGCCTTCATATAAAATGACCCAGAGGAGCTTATATTTTATAATAATGGCAAATGAGAGCTATTAGCACTTCCAGTACAGGGAAGAGAGATTGTCTGACTTAGGCTTTAAGAACCTGCAGATGTCTTGAGGTTGGACTGGAATGGGGAGAAATCAGAGGCCAAGGAGGTTTATTGCAATAGTCCAGTCGAGAGATGATGAGGGCCTTAATTAAGGTAGAAGCTGCATCAATGAAGAGAAAAGAGCACATGAGAGAGATGTTGTGGAGGTGGAATCAACATACTATGTTTTTTTGGGTTTTTGTGGTGAGGCAATCGGAGTTAAGTGACTTGCCCAGAGTCACACAGCTAGTGAGTGTTATGTGTCTGAGGCTGAATTTGAACTCAGGTCCTCCTGACTTCAGGGCCAGTGCTTTATCCACTGTGCCACCTAGCTGCCCCCTATACTATGTTTTTAACATAACAGAAATCTCATCTCTCATCCAGCTCCTGAAACCTAATATCAATAGGCAGAAATTATCTTTCTTAGGAACAAAAACGAATTGTATGTCACACATTATATTATGTGACTCAGAATTACGCTAACATTATTAACAGCAGATGGCTTGAATTTGTATGATGGTTACTTTCCAAAATGCTTCCATGTCTATGATCTCAATTTATAAAACATATGACAATTATTATTAGTCTAATTTTACAGGTGTATAACCTGTAGCACAAAAAGATTAAGAGTAGCATGACTAGAGGGCAGTTAGGTGGTACAGTGAATGAAGTGCTGAGCCTGGAGTCAGAAAGACTGCCCCTCATGAGTTCAAATCTGGCCTCAGACACTTGCTAGCTATATGACTCTGGGCAAGTCACTTAATCCCGTTTGCCTCAGTTTCTTATCTGTAGGATGAATTGGAGAAAGAAATGGCAAACCATTTCAGTATCTTTGCCAAGAAACCCCCAATGTCGTGAAAAGTTGGACATGACTAAAAAATGACTCAACAACAAAAAGCATGGCTAGTTAATGACAGAACTGGATCTAATACCATTTTTCCTGAACAGGTAGCAAAGTGTATTTTCCACTGAAGCTACTTCCTAAAGTAGATGGTAGCCTCTATGTGTAAAAGCTTTTTGTTTCAATACCTGTGCATCTGCAAACACACAGACGTTGGTTGTTGGTTCTGCACTAAAAGCATCCTTTCCATCTGTTAATATAGTTCCATAGAGAAATGCAAGCTCTTCACTCTCCGGATGATGAATTTTAACCTGGGAAAAAGCAAATAAAAGATATTTACTAATGTGTGTGATACGCAGTAAAATGGCTTTTATTTAAATGGATCTTCACAAAATAATGTAGATGTAGGTGTTCAAACATATCACTTTTCATTTTATTGAGTGCCCACTATGTGCAACGTACTATGCTAGGCACGTGAAATTGTGTCACTCTAGTAAGTATGTAAACATGATGGAAAGGGTTGTTTGGTTGAGTTCAAAACAATCCTGTTACTCCATTTTTTTTTAGACTGGACCTGTTATTTCACTGCTATAAGGAACTTATGACAGGGAGGGGCATAGGAGAATGGAGAAGAATTTACATAGAGTTTACTGTATATCAGGTACTACGCTAAGCATTTTTTATAATTATTATCTCATTTGATCCTCATAAGAACCCTGCAAGGTAGGTGCTATTATTATCCTCTTTTTACAATTGAGAAAGCTTCCTCTACAAAAACTGAGGAAATTTCCTCTCCCGATTTCTCTGCAATTTAAAGTCTGGGTCTTTGACAGTTAACTAAGACATTCAGAGGTTAAGTGACTTGCCCAAGATCATTCTAAGGGTAAGGGGAAGAGAACAGCATTTATTAAGTGCCAACAAGTGTCAGGCACTGTGCTAAGTGCTTTACAAATATTACTTCATTTGATCCTCACAACAACCCTGGGAGATAGATGCTATTATTATCCTCATTTTATAGTTGACAAAATTGAGGCAGATAGAGATTAAGTGACTTGACCAGGGTCATACAATTAGTTAAACGTCTGAGGCTGAATTTGAACTTGGGTCTTCCTGACCCCTGGCCTAGCTCTCTAACCACATTGCCACCTCTAATTGCCAGTATGTGTAAGAGGCAGGACTTGAACCCATGTTTGTCATACTCTGAGTCTAACACTCTATCCACTATGACACACTGCCTTTAATTCCAAATAATAATATACCAGTTATATTATTTGATTGTTTGCTTTTCCTCTCCCACTGATAAACCTATCAGCTTTATTTTACTGCACTGATATTTCTAAAATCTACAAAATAATTCTGCTATATGATACTTTGTTCTCACTGTATAGTCATTAAATAATTCTTCACATTTTTCCTACTTGTTTTGATATTTATAAATTCAGGTCTTCAAACTCAAGAGTTGTTTCTCTGATTAGGAAACTAATGCCTTTCTCTTATTTCTCTTATGGAAAATGCTGTGATAAATTGATCTCTTGTTCAACTGCTAGCTCAGTAAGATTACTAAACACGTGTGACAGAAAAACTGATGCAAAATTAATACTTCAGCCATCCTGCCTAAGGAGGGGCAAACTGGCCCAGGCTGGAATGGAACAGGTCAGGGCACCTATACTGGTCACAAATGGGACTGGGTCACAGACTTCTGCATTTCCAGTCTAAGAAAATTAGGGAGATGCATTCTCAAAATAAATTAAATTAAAACTTCAGAGTGGCTCTATGATTCTCACATAGGGAATTATCCTAACAATTCTATGGAACACCATTTCAAATAGATCTAGTGTAATTTCTTACTCTTTAAATATTACATTTCAAGGGAGAGCTAGGTGGCACAGTGGATAGAGCACCGACCCTGGAATCAGAAGGACCTGAGTTCAAATCTGCCCTCAGACACTTGACACTAGCTGTGTGACCCGAGGCAAGCCACTTAACCTCAACTGCCTCACCAAAAAAAAAAAAAAGAAATAATATATGTATATATATATATATAGATAGATAGATATAGATATAGATACAGATATAGATATTACATTTGGGGCAGCTAGATGGCACAGTAGATAGAGCACTAGCCCTGGATTGAGGAAAACCTGAGTTTAAATCTGGCCTCAGACACTTGACACTTACTAGCTGTGTGACCCTGGGCAAGTCACTTCACACCATTACCTCACCAAATATATATATATACACACACACACACACACACACACACACATATATATACATATATATATACACACACATATATATACATATATATATATAAAACATTTCAAAAGAAAATGATTGGAAATGTTAAAATTGAAATAATGAATCAATATAAGTATAGATAATTGAATTACTATACTAGCCTTTCATGTTATTTTTTAATCTAAAAATTAACAAAATTCTTATAAACAAAGCAAAGAAAAATGTATTATATTTATAGATTCTATTAAATTTATAGATCAATTCAAAGTTAGAGTCTTAATGTACAATGGCAAATTTCTGCTGGAAGTGAAGGATAAAATCTTTTAGTCTATTAGTAAACAATACAGTGTTAAACTTAGTGTTTTTATTTGTTGCTGATCAGACTACCAAAATTGTTTACATAAATCTACTTCTGAATTGATAAGATGTTGTAGGGCAGCTAAGTGGAGCAGTGGATGGAGTGAGGGGCCTAAAGTCAGGAAGACTCATCTTCCTGCGTTCAAATCTAGCCTCAGACACTTCCGAGCTGTGTGAACCTGGGCAAGTCACTTAACCTTGTTTGCCTCAGTTTCCTCATCTGTAAAATGAGCTGGAGAAGCAATTGGCAAACCACTCCAGTATCTTTGCCAAGAAAACCCCAAATAGGGCCATAAATAGTTGAACATAACTGAATAACAACATTATAATAATACACCTTATTACCTGTACTAAAAAAGTCACTAAATTAGATTACAGAATAAATTTAACTACATTTACATTAAATGATTTTAAATTTCTGCTCCAAGTGACAAGGGAGGAAGCAAAGCACATATATAATACTATGTATAAAAATCATTAATTTCAGATTTAGTGGGGTCCAAAGTGATTGTTTGGCTATGTAGTCAAGGTGGTACATGTATTGTAAATAAATAAGTGTTGAAGAAAGGTTAATAATAACTTAAAGAAATATTTGTTTACAGTAAATAAGTGTTGAAGGATAATAATAATTTGAAGAAATATATTCAACAAACAGAATGAGATCATATTTATTTTCATTCTTTCTTGCCATCCTCTACAAGGAATTTTTAATATTTTCATTACAATGATCTTTAGGATGAGAAAATATTAGGCTTCTTATTCTCAGTATCACTTTTGTTTATTTAAGTGTTTTTCAGGAAGTCTGATGATGAACTTCTCTAAATTTAACAAGCTGGTCCTTGGATGACAGAGGTATAGGCCACTACTGTCTCCATGCTCAGTCTTTCCGTTTTGGTAAGACCCGCCAGGAGTTAAGCTCCAGTGTCTTAGCCTTCAAAAACTCAAGGTCACCTTTAAACCATGAGGAGGCATCAAAAAGCAGGGATTTAGCCCAGTTGAATCACCAGGTTGGCCACAGGGTCATGATATTTTTGGCCACAACTGACAAAGACCATCAGTTAAAGCATGAAGGGGTTGTGATCTGTGTGAGTGGAAGGAATACCCGCAGTGAAAAAGTCGTAGACTCTTGAAGGTCTGAAGGAAGCTACCAAGGTATAGGCTATCTACCTGTGCTTTAACTGCTTCTGTAACTGCAGTTGCTGCATCTACAAGATCCCTCGTCTTCGAAGAACAGACATCTAATCCAAACCTTTCAGCATTAACAAATGCATAAAATGCACCACCATATCCAATGTCAACTACAATGTCCCCTTTTCCAGGAACATGCACCACGAGATCTAAAAAGATTTAAGAAAAAGACATTTTGCATTCAGTATTTTTACAGTAAAATGCTGTCCTTTCCAGATATTCAGGAAAAAAAAATCATCACTTTAAAAGGTAATAATATAAAACTGGAAATTCACTTTCAAAACAACTAAGTTCCAAGTGGTATAAAAGGCCTTCAGTATCTATTTATTTTCACATTTTTAACTTAAATGAGGTTCAGACACAACCATGTACCATTCTTTCTAAATCATATTCTGAATTTATGAATTTTATTACCTCCATGGCACCTTTTTTTGTCTAAGTAATTTCATAGGTATATCTTCGTGTTAGTTCCAAATTCTAGGTTTTATAGGTTATGGAGTAGCTGTAAGGTATAAGAAATTATGTTTTCACAGATGTAGAGGAAGTGGTATTAACAATAAAATTCAGAAGTTGTCACAGGGGCAGAAGGAGAGGTTTTGCTCAAGAATTATTTTTAACAATACTACCCAGAGACAGACAAAACCTGCTGACACTTATACTGTGGTTAGAAGTGAAGAAAGTAAAACAAAGGTTATAACTTGGCTAAGGTACACGTGCTTAATGAACTTATACATATTAACCTCTCCCCTCTGGAGGGGAGGGGGAAAATTAACATAATTCTAGGCACAATGTTGTATGTAGTGGAAGGGGAAAACATATTAAGGAGCAATATGAAGTAAGTATTCCAGGAAGTTGTACACCTTGAAGTGTCCAGCCAATGGAGAAATGGGGGAGGGACTTTGTATTTCGGGACAGGAATATAACTGCTTGTTCTAGCGTCTGTAGGGTGTGTCTGCCTCTAGCAGCACACATGCTTCTTGCAAGAACATATAATAAATGAGTTTACCTCATCTACTTTGGGAGTCTTTGTCTTTCCTGTAGAAGTTATTCCTGACAATTCGGGGGACTGTCCGGGATCTGAAGCGTCGAAGGAGAAGGGCAGCCACCACCGAAGGATGGAGAGGCTTGCCCCGCTGAGTTCAGTGGCTTCGTGGATCGTTGGTGAGTGTCCTCCCTCCTGACTGCCCAGACCCAAGACTTCGATTTAGAGTGAGGTGGAGTGACTCGGGTGAGGAACAGGAGAAAACTGCAGCTGCTATGCAAAGTCTGTGCATAGAGCAAGGTAAGAAAGGCTGAACTTCCAAGTACTACCTTGTTAGTAGGGGCATTCTGCCTAAAAGAACTATGGAGTAGGACTGATACTCATAGATAGGTGGAATGGGGAATAAGGAAACCAAGGAGCCTGGACAGAGGGCAGGGATGGGGGCCCTGGGGGCATACCTCTGAACAGTCCCTTAGGGAGGATGCTGTAGAGTTGGAATGGATGTACATGTACAAAGGATAATAGTAAGAAACAGATGATTCTGTTGTGTTATTTGGCCTAAGGAGAGCATTATGCCTCCGGCGCTGTTTTGGCCCAAGTATGGGGGCCAATGAAGATGAGATGTGCCAAACCTTAAATATCTATGTAAAGGAAAAGAAACCATTCAGTCAAGAGGAGAGTGATGATGCCTCTTGTTGGAAAGAGGAGGGGGACCCGTCAAAGGAGAAGGAAGTCAAAACATAACCTCTGAGGGAGGTCACTTTAGGTCAAGGGGAAATTGGATTTGTAAATGCCTCCTGACTGCCAGCGAGGTGAGAAAATTTGGACTACTAAGTATTACCTTGTAGGGTTGAGTAAATATCAGGGTAGTCTGGGACTACGGGAGGATGGAGAAGATCTACATGGGAGGTCTTGTCAAAAGGGAGAAGAGCACTGTTACATATTTACAAGAAATCCTAGGGAAGGACGTAGCAGGGGGAATAACAACGCTGGTGTAGGATGGGGTTCTTTTGAGATTTGTGCACACTTTGTCTTGTCAGGCTGTCTCTGTCTGTGTGTGTATTTGTAAATTTTTCCTGTTTGTGGTGAAAGTTTTAAATACAGCCAGAAAAACTTCTAAGGAACTTCTGAGGCCTATAATTAGAGAGAGAATTTTGGGAAAGAACTCCCACCATCGGCTTTCAGTGGGAGATTAGAATTTTTTTTCTGGAGCCCAACACTGGCCAAGTTGATTCCAGAATAAAGTTAGATAAAAGAATAATGAGAAAGCAGGAAGATTTTCTCTGAAGAAAACAAAACAAAACAAAACAGAGTGTTAAGCAGCCCTATGGATAAGGATCGAGAGCATACAGCCCAAGATAGCAAGGGCTGAGAAGAAAAAAAAAAAAAGAGGAAGGTGTTTGTGATGAGAGTGGGGGAAATTTGGCTCTCTCGATTTGTAAATTGTTAGGCGATAACTCCCTCCAGATTCTAACACGGTGAAGAGAAACAGACTGGAAGTGGGATGAGTATAATTTTTTAAAATTAATTTGGAACATAAAAGAAAGTGGAGGTAGTCTAAGTAATGTGTTTGTAAGATTAGGAAAGAGGAGCCAAGGTTTTGAGCAAAAATATGACGGGTAGAAAAAAGAAGGAAAAAAAATATATAGTTTGAGGGTGGGTTGGAATGGGGTGTTCCAGGGCAAGCCCATGTGCTCTAAATTCCCCATCCTTGGATGTTTTGGTTGGGTGGCTTTATGCCAGCTTCAGGGGAAATGTGAGGAAGTTTGATTTTGTATTGGGTAGAAAAATTGAAAATGAAAATTTTGTAGCTTCATTTGAAAACCAATGAAATTTGTTGTTTTTTTTTGTTGTTGTTGTTGTTGTTTTTGCTAGACAATGGGGTTAAGTGACTTGCCCAGGGTCACACAGCTAGTAAATGTCAAGTATCTCAGGCTGGATTTGAACTCAGGTCCTTCTGACTCCAGGGCTCATGCTCTATCCACTGTACCACCTAGCTGCCCCACTGTACCACCTAGCTGTCCCCAATAAAGTTATATAAAGGTTACAGGACCATCCAACTCTCAGGATAAAACTGTAGGAAGGCTTTATTAAATCTGAGCTTGTATAAATTTTGGCTATGGTAAAGATATTATTGGTTATTGTGACTGGAGATTATTATACAAAATCTTAAAATGTTTTCCTGGGCCATTCAATTAATTATTGGAACTGAGGGAGACAGGATTTTTCTGCTCTCCTAAGGAAGTAAGGGGAATAAAAAGGGGAGAATTATTCAGAGCAGGAATTGTCACCACATGTCTTTTTAAGGGAATACATGACAGTTGTGAAGAATATTTCCTTTTAAAAGGCCAAGAGCATTGGATTTAAAGCAAAAATGTTTTTAAATGTTTATCATTAGCGATTATAAATCCAGATTTGATTTGCTTTAAGTTGACCTCAGTTTACTGTTCTGTAAAGGAAAAAATAGTAATGGGTAGTTTCAAGTTCCAAGTATATTATAAGGTGTAAGGAATGGTTACGTTTCTAAATTGTGCAATTTGATAAATAATCGTATCACCTATTATGTTAGAAAAGCAATTTCTCTTATAATCTAGAATGTTGTTAGATTAAGAATTGTACTGTTAGAGAAAGAAAAAAAATTGAATGAGTTAAGAAGCTGTTAGGTCATTCTATCTGATCATATGGTGTAACATTTTAAGTACTGTAATTAAAGAAACATGAACTTTCAAGTTTTGTCTATATTTAAAAGGAAGTTTCACCTAAAATTATTTGGTTCTCACTTATGAAAGTTATTTGGAGTTATTGTTTAAATCAAGTATTTGTAAAAGTATTTTCGTGAAAAGAAACTTGGTAATTGTACAAAGAAAGGAATTTTGTGGTAATTAGGGAATTGTAAGCTGTTTTCAAGAAAGAGACATACTTTTAGGAAGAAATGTTTTGCAAAATCTTTGTTGTGATTTTTTAGAGGGCCTACTAAATTTCTATTTGCAAACTAATTTTGTTGCAAGTAATAATTTGATATTGATGACAATTGTGTCCGAATCTATTGTGAATTTTGAGTTTGTTTTCCTAGGTTTGCATTTCCTAGGTTTGTTGCGTCCTTGGACTGGTCTTAACGGGTACTTTCTGAGAAAGAGTCAAAATCAGCAGCTCAATGGGAGCAGTGTCAGAAAGAGGTATTAATACTAAAGCAATTATTGTAATGACTTATAAGTAGGGAAGATCTTGCTGTTTTGATCTGAATTCATTCCTTGGCCTACCAAGGGTTAGAATCAGTGTTTGAACTTCTTACATGTATAAGATTCAATCCTTGAAAGTGCCTCATTCTTTCAGATTGAGTATGGTTAGAAAAGGATAAATAAGCTTGAGAAACAGAGAGGCAAATCTATTAGAGTAGCAACTTACGATTTTAATGGAAATTTGATTTTATTCAGGATGTTATTTAATCAGGAACTGGAATATGTGTAGGAATACATGCAAACTACTTAGGGTTCGCTTTAGATGTTCCCTAACTACTGTGAGATTAGTCACACCTGAAACTCTGATGATGGGAATTTGCTATCCAAGATCATAGGGGTTGTTAATGAACTATTATTCTGAGTCCAACTCCTGGAATGGTTATTAAGAAACTGATTCAGCTACTGACCCACGACGTCAGCAACCCTGTGAAGGGTGAGCTGCATCTATGAATTGCTGAGGGTGATCTCACGGGAAGGTCGGGAGAATGACTTTTCCGCATGGGCAGACGTAGGATTCTCCTGACTCAATTTCCCTATGACACCTGAAGGCTTTAAGCCTGGCTCAATGCAGTTGGCCATTCCATAACTTCTGCCTGGAATTAACATGAAGTTAGGGAAGCACTGTTCCCTTATTTTAGTTATGTCTCTGTTCTTTTATGACAAATTTCTATAATCAAAAGGTATTGTAAGCACAATATTAAATCTATTAAATAATAGATTGATGCTGGAGCATCTGAGGTTATTGCAGTAAGATGTAAGTGTAAGATTGAGCTATTTGGCCTAGAATTTCAGAATTAAATATTCTTACATAAGTTAGGGTCCTTTAATTCCTCATAATAGTATAGAGATAATTGGGCCAGGAGCTTGTGAAACCAGGCTATTATTCTGTTACTTAGTTAATATCAAAGAAGTCTCAGTTTGTTACAATTAGTTAATGTTAAAAGAATGGCTTGTGGCTTTTCTTAAAAATGCCTTAAAAGAAGCATCCACTTTAATTAAGGGTTATTTATTTGTACATGACCAGAAGTTGGAATTGTTTTATTACTTGATATGTGCTGTTTTGAAATTGATTATGTATGTATTGGAGTCTGTTACTAGTTCCTTAGAGAAATCTCATCCTCCTGATGGGGGAATATAAATAAGAAAAAACAAAACAAAACTGCAATTAATCCAAGATATAAAACTAGAAGTAATTTGAAATGTTAAGACTAGGTTCCAATTCTTCTGTTACTTTTCTAATTTGAGTTTTCTAAACATGATAATTAGCCAAGGTTCCAATTATTGATCTTATGATTATGGAGACATAAGGATTGAGTTAACTTTCATTATTCGCCCTGGTTGTTGGTAAGGACTTTGGAGGGATTATTATTATTGTTGCTATTACTATTATCTCCTCATCTTTTTGATGAAGTTCAGTTAGAAATGGTCCTGGGACAAGTTGCTATACTATTCTTACTATCATTTAGTGTTCTGTAAGCATTGCCAAGGTTCTTATAACCTTTTTTTATGTCACCATACCATACCCCCTGGGCAGTGTGATGAAGTTTATGCACCCCATTCTCAGCATGTTTTTAAAATGAAATAAAATATAGGATTATAAAGGAAATCAATTATACTAGAGGCAGCTAGGTGGTGCAGTGGATAGAGCATTGGGCATAGATGAGTTCAAATTTGGCCTCAGACTCTTACTAGCTGTGTGAACAGGGGCAAGTCACTTAAACCTGTTTGCCTCAATTCCTCCCTCATCTGTAAAATGAGCCAGAGACCACGCCAGCATCTATGCCAAGAAAACCTCAAAAGGTGTCACTAAGGACTCAAACAACTCAAGAACGGAGAGCAGTAGATAAGAGCACTTCGGCCTGGAATCATCCAGTCTGATACCTCCTAGCTGTATGACCCTAGGCAAAGCACTTAACCCCTTTGCCTCAGTTATTTATCTGTAAAATGGGGGTATTAATAGCACCTATCTCTCCCAGGATTGTCAAGAGGATCTAATGTAAAGCATCTGGCACACAGTAGTTGCCATGTAAATGTTATTATTGTTATTGTTGAGCTGCCAGGCCCTGTTACCCAAGATCACACAATGTCTGAGGCCATATTTGAAATCCAGAAGATGAGTATTCCTGGCTTCAGCCCCTGCACTCTATCTACTGTGTGCACACACACACACACAAAATGTATATATGAGTATATAGAATATAATGAAAGTTGTCAAAACATGCTTTTAAAAAAACAACCAAATTCAAGGACCCCAAGGTTAAGAACCCCCTTTTTTTAAGGTGTTGGCTTATCGTATATCAACGTCACGACTTTAGTCTTCCCAAGCATGGAGGGGTACGTGTAAGCAGCCTTGTGATTTCTGGTCATTTATTTACTATTAATATATAATTACTGTATCATACGTGATAAGTACATTTGATTAATTTCTCGTGACCCCGGGTTTGTTGCAATTAGTGAACGCCCGATTAACACTTTAATCAAAATAAGCATTTTAATCAGCGGCAGAGTCTTCGTCAGTAGGGTTACTAGGCTCCACGCGTCCATCCCAGGGCCCTGGACCCGAGGGGCGCTGGCGGGGTGGTCGGGGTTACCTGTGGCCAGGGCAAAGGCCGGGACACTGTGGAAGCGAACGGGCCCTCGGCTGCGGCCACGCTCGCACTCCACGAAGGCGGTGACCAGGCCGCAGGGGCAGTGCAGGCGGACTTGAGCCTCGCGGACACCGGGCGGGGGCGGCGGCACCAGCCCGTAGTCGAGCGCGAAGCGCCCCAGGGCCAGCACGCCGTGGCCGCACATGGAGCTGTAGCCCTCGTTGTGCAGGAACAGGACGCCGGCGTGCGCGTCGGGCAGCTCGCTGCGCACCAGCAGCGCCCCGTACATGTCCCGGTGCCCGCGCGGCTCCAGCATCAAGCGCCGCCGCAGCGGGTCCTGGTGCTCCCGCACGTAGCGGCGTTTAGCCAGCACGGTGGGGCCGCCCACCTCGGGCCACCCCGCCAGCACGATCCGCAGGGGCTCCCCGCCCGTGTGCATGTCCACGACCGACAGCACCGGGGTGCCCGAGGCGTGAGGGGGCAGCTGGGAGCTATCCCGCAGCACCTCCATGGGAGACGCTGCCAACCAGCAAACCCAAGAACCGACCCAGCGGCCGTGTGGAGGTGTAGAGGGGTTGGGGGAGGCGTGGCTTCGGAAACAAGAGCTGCCACTATTGGTCGACAGAGGCAGGGGGCGGGGCATTAGTCTAGTGTCGCCACAGTTACCGGGAGGAGGAGGAGCCCTACGAATTGTCCCGGATGTGACCGTCCGGGTGGTGCGGCCCTTCCGCAGATCCCGGTCCGGCATCCGAAAGGCCAATGGGTGAGTGTTCCGGAAGTGGTCGCCCCGAGGCAGGGGGCGGGGCTGTGGTTAAGCTGTTGCCACAGTTACCGGGTTTGGGAGCTCCTGCGGCCCGGATGTAATCATCCTGGTTGGTGGAGCCTTTTGGCTGGTCACGGTTCTCAGTCCAAAAGGCCAATGGGTGAGTGGTCTTCGATCCCCGCGCGCTCTCCCGCCACCTCACTCTTCCCTGGGGGCCAGCTGGGGTGGGGATGGAGGGAGACTGGACTCGTGCCTGCTCTCTCCCGCGGCTTCGGCTCCCGCACCCGTCCTTCCCTTCCCCGCACTGGGAGCTTGGGCCGGAGCAGCTGCAGGCCCCCCGCGACCCCGACTGTGCGTCGGGGAAAATGAGCGTCCGAGGTGCAGGGATTTCCGGGGCCCCGGAGTGGGGTGCTCTCCGAGCAGAGGAGAAAGCGGGTGAAAATGAAATAAACTCACTTATTAGAAAAGTCCTTTTGCGTATGTGTTGGTAGTAGAGAACGGTGATTTCAAAATTCAAATGCTGAATCTAATAAGTATATCAGTAATAATATTTATGTAACGCTTTAAGGTTTACAGGGGGTGGGGGGTAGAGTGAGTTCAAAATTTAAAATGCTGTCTAATTTATTAATAATGTTTATGTAGCAGTATACGGTTAGCATGGGGGTAGCGGAGTAATCTCAACACTTAAAATGCTGAGTCTAAGTTTATTAATATTTATATAGTGCCTTAAGGTTTGCAAAGGTTTGGGGAAGTTATTTCACAATTTAAAATGCTGAGTAATAACTTTGTTAATAATATTTATATAGCTCTCAAGAGTTTGCAAAAGTTCAGGAAAGTGATTTCACTATTTAAAATTCTGAGTCTAATAAATGTGTTAATATTTATATAGCACTTTAAGGTTTGCAAAGATTCGGGGAAGTGATTGCAAAATCGGAAATTCCAAGCCTAATAAGTGTATTATTAATAATTTTATAGCGCTTAAGGTTGTCTTGGGAGGAGGGAGTTCAAAATGTAAAATGCTAAGTGATAAATATTATTAATAATAATATCTATATAGTGCTTTAAGATTTGCAGGGGATGCGGGGAGTGATTTCAAAGTTTCTCAGCATTTATGCTGAGTATACTAAGCTTATTAATAAAATTTGTACACTCGGATATAAGATTGTCGTGGAAATAAGGGAGAATGAATTAAAAATTCTAAATGCTAACTAATAATTTTAATAAAAGTCACATTCTGTTATTCCATTTGATCCTCACAACAACCTTGTGAAGTAGGTACTGCTTATTATCCTCATTTTACAGCAAGGAAACCAAGGCTAAGAGATGTCAAATAAGTGAATTGTCCAGAGTTGAACAGCTAGTATTTGCAGGAAACCGGATTTGAACTTGGATGCTTCCTGACTCCAGGCCCAGCGCTATAGTCATTTCACCATCCAGCTGTGGAGTATGATAATGAAAAAAACAACAAAGGAAACTTCTTTCTTATACAAAATGAAGCCAGTGCTGTCAGTCAACAAGTATTTATTTAGCTGTCAGTATATACCAGGCACTAGATCTTCATTTTTCTGACTTCATATCTAATGGCTTCAAAGGAGAACTGGGTTCACATCCCACCCCTCACATTTATTTTCAGCCAAGAGACAATGGGCAAATCATTTATTTTGTCTAGGCTTCAGAGTCCTTCTTTGGAAAAGAAGTTTAAGGTGGTTGGACCCCAAGATTTTTACTTTCCTGCTCAACTCTTAAGTTCTACAACTCACCTAAATAGTATGTGTCAATCCACGTGTAAATCCTTGTGTTGGATACTTGGGAGATTGATGAGTGAGGAATGAGTGAAACTGAGTCAAGACTCATCCTCAAGAGACTTTCCCAAATTAAATGATTTCTAGAATTATCTCTGGCTTCATATTAAAGAGGATCAGTACACATTTATTAGGTATCTTTTCTGAGCAAAGCATTGTGATTCTGACTATTAAAAATCCATCTAATAAATTTTTATTAAGCACTTAGTATGCACTGAGATGCAAGTAAAAAGTTAAATCCTTTAGGAGCTTACCTCCTAAAGAGGTAGGTAGCATGCAAATAAGTGGGTATATATACAAGATAGTTATCAGGTCTCTGGAAGGTAACTTTAGTGGAAAAGCTATCAGCTGCTGTGAGGACCAGAAAAGTTCTCTTTGTAGAAAGTAGTATTTGAGTTGAGTCTTGAAGAAAGGGATTTTAAGAGGCAGAAATGAGGAGAACAGAATATTTGAGGCCTGGGGGGCAGCACCTAGGACAGTATGGCTGGACTATATGGTATGTGGAGGCAAGTAATATGTAAGAAGACTGGAAAGTTAGAAAGGGGCATAGTTGTGAAGAACTTCAAATGACAGAGGAGTTCATTTTTGATCTTAGAGGTAATAGGGAGGCTATAGAATAGGAGGAGGGACATGCCCTTTGGTTTAGGAAAATTACTTTGGCAATTGTGTGAAGATTGAATTACATTGGGGAGAGACTTGAAGCAGTGAGATCAGTTAGGGATCTATTGAAATAGTTTAGTGGAGAGAGGTAATGAGGACCTGAACTAGGGTGGTGACCGTGTGAGTGGAGAGAAGGGGAGTTACCGGACAGATGTAGTAGAGGAAGAAATGATAAAGATGAGGTCAGAAACCAAATGGCAGGAGGTTTAGAAGATTGAGAATCATCTCTTCACATTTTATGTCTAAGATAGGGCTGCAAAAAAAAAAGAAGAGGAGGAGAAAGGGGGTGGGGAGAAGGAAAAGAAAGGAGAAGGATGCAGGAAGGAGGAGGAAAGACTAAGAAATCACCTTTGAAGTTTAACCTTGATCTTAACCATACAGTAGAGGGTGGAATCTTTGATTCTGGAAGTTTTCGACAGTTCTCGAAGCCTGGAAAGCTAGAAAATGTTATTTATATTGAACTTTTCAAAAAATAAGATCACAGTTGTGTCTGAGAAACAGTTCTCCAGAAAATACTAAAAATACCTTACCAAGAAATACCTTAAGACCAGTCTTCATGAATGGTGTTGTGTGGTTGCATATGACAAGAAGACTTATGAATTTCATTATTTCCAGATTAGTCAAGATGGGGAAGGATCTGAATCTGGGGATTAGGTGGAACTCTTTCAGTAGGGTTTTGCATTTTAAAAAGAGTTCAAAACAATGAAACATATTATGAATATATTTAAATTTACTGGTGAATAAAACTTGGAACAATTAAGAAAAGTGAGAGGAGAAAAAGAAGAGACAACCAATCATAACCAAGAGAGATGGGAAGATATTCAACAGGGATAGAGGCATCTAGTGAGGATTTTTTTTTTTTTTATATTTATTTTAAAGGATGGAGGAGATTAGGGCGTTAGTAGGTATCAGAGATGCAGCCATTCGGTAGGAAGAGATTGAAGATTAAGGAGAAAGGAGATGATAGTAGGGGCAGTCTGACGGACCACATGGGAGGGATTGGGATCAGAGAATATGATTTTGGCAAGGAAGAAGACCACATATTCATCAAAGACTGGATTGAAGCAGGAAAGGAATGTGAGATAATAAGAGAGAAGAACTTTTGGCAAACAGCCTCAATTTTTCCAGTGAAAAGGACCTCAACTGAGAGAGTCAGGGGAGGGAATGCAGGGAGTGGGGAGGGCTTATGGAGAGAAGAGAATGTTTTGAACAGCCATAATAGAGAATGAGATAGAGAATTAATTAAGAAGAAATAGAAAGATTGCCTTGTGTCAGTGAGGACTCAGTTGAGTTTAGGTCACATAAATTTGTAGTAGACTCTTCTCAGTATGGTTTTGTGAGTCCCTTCAGCTCTGTTCAGCAGGTGGGTAAGATTGAAGTGGGTAGGTGGTTGGAGTAACCCAAGTTTGGTGAGATGTGATAGGCAAGAGGAAAGAACAAGGACTTTATAGTGTAGAGGAGAACTAGTTCACCAAGGGGTCACCATTGAGAAGATAGAGCTAGAGCAGGATTGATCATCAGAAAGTACTGAGGGGTGGAAGGATTGGAAGTCATGAAGACGATGAAGAAAAGGGTCAGGGAGAGTTGCAATTATAAAGGATTATTATTAGGTAAAAGAATATCAGAGTTCTTTAATTTGACAATAGAACACTTTTGGATGATGGCACTAGCACAGCCAAGTTGTCTTGGCTGAGAAGGTGTGGAGGAATTGGTAACATAAGTTGAATAGGTTGAGAAACTGGAAAGTCAAGGTATTTAACACACACATTAAAGGACTCTATTATAAGAGCAGTAGTTAAGATGGTAAAAAAAAAAAAAAAACAAAACTGAGCCAGACACAGAACTGAATAAAAAAGGAGGAAGAATGTTCTGGGTCTTTAATAGCCACAAATGATATAGATTGGGTGAAAAATTGTATAGAGTGAACCTCAAAGGAGTTAAGGTTGTTGAGTGTTGATGAAAGGGAGCATCTGGACTGGGCAATGGGAAATAAAGAAAACCACTGCGATCAGATTGGGGGTAGAGGGAGTTGAAAGAGAGGGAGTGCTACCAGTACTGGAAAGGATGGCCAGGGACACGGTGTTGTCTGGAAGGAGTCAGGTCTCAGTGAATGCCAGACATAGGAGTTCAAGAGAAGAGGAAGTCTAAGATGAGAGTAAAGGCTTGGTTTTTGTTTGTTTGTTTTGAGATTATCAAGATTTATTCAAATCAACAAGTTTTAATTATTTTAAAAATTATTTATTTTTAACATTCTTTTCATTAAAAAGTTTAAGTTTCAAATTCTCTACCTCCCTACTCCTGCTGAGAAGGCAAGCAATATATCAATTATATGTGTGAAAGCAGGCAAAACATTTTCATATTAGCCCTATTTTTTTAAAAAAGCAAGAAAAATAAAGTGAGAAAATGATAACTTCAATTTGCACTTAGTTCATCAGTTCTCTCTCTGGTGGTGGATAGCATTTTTTCATCGTGAGCCCTTTGTAATTGTCTTGGATCATTGTAGGGATCAGAATAGCCAAGTCTTCACAGTTGATCATCATCACACCGTTGCTGTTATTGTGCACAATGATCTGCTGGTTGTTCTCACTTCACTTTGCATCAGTTCAAAACCACACCTCCACCCTTGTCTTTTCCTGTGGCTCAGTAGTACTTAATCACAATCATATACCACAGCTGGTTCAGCCATTCCTTAATTGATGAGCATCCCATCAATTTCCAACACTTTGCTACCACAAAAAGAGCTGCTATAAGTATTTTTTGCATGTATAGGTCTTTTTCCTTCTTTCTTTGATTTCTTTGGGATACAGACCTAGTAGTGGTATTGCTGGATCAAAGGGTATGCACAGTTTTATAGCCTTTTGGGCATAGTTCCAAATTGTTCTCCAGAATGGCTGGACTAGTTTACTGCTCCACCAGCAGTTCATTAGTGTACCTGTTTTTCCATATCCTCTCCAGCATTTGTCATTTCTGAAAGGTGTGAGGTGGTATTTCAGAGTTGTTTTAATTTGTCTTTCTCTAATCCATAATGATTTAGAGCATTTTTTCATATGACAATAAATAGCTTTGATTTCTTCTGAAAACTGCCTGTTTATATCCTTTGACCATTTATCAATTGGGGATGGCTTTTTTTTTTAATAAATTCGACTCACTTCCATGCTCAGTGAGATATGAGGCCTTTATCTGAGAAATTTGCTATAAATTTTTTTATATTATTTCATTGTGGTACCTTTTTAGCAAAATGTAGTTTCCCTGATTGTTTCTTTAATTAAATATTTTTGAGATCATGATTACTAGCCCTGCCTCTTTTATCTCAGCTGAAGCATATTAGGTTCTTCTCTAGTCCTTTATTTTAGCTCTGTATGTGCCTTTCTGTTTCAGGTATCTCTCGTAAACAGTATGTTATTGGATTCTGGATTCCATTCTGCCATCTGCTTTTTTGTTTTATTTTTATTTTACAGATGAGCTCATCCCATTCACATTCATAGTTATAATTACTGTGTATTTCCCTCTGTCCCATTTTCTTCTGTTTCTTCTCTTTTTATCCTGTCCCTCCTCAAAAGTCTTTTTTGCTTCTAACCACTGCATTCTTTGATCTGCCTTCCCTTTTATCATTCCACCCATCTACCCTCCCCTCCCCCCCTCCTTAAATTGAGAGTAAGTTTGTTCAGTGTAGATTGGGATTTCCAGAGGTCACAGTAGTAGGGGTTGGCAAATCAGGAGTGAGACATTACATGGGCTGAGTGTGGGGAATGGGATATTGGGATTGAGGTGGATAGGAATGGGTAGACAACTTGGGTTACTTTTGGCACTCAGAGTTCAGTGTTTCAGAGATGGTCAGAATAAGAGGATTTGAGTAAGCTAACTATTGGGGAAGAAGTTCAGGCAGAGTATCTGTGAGTGGAGAAAAGTTGGCTGATGAATGAAGGTAGGTGATTAGGGCAGGCAGGATATTGTTGTGTTTTGGGGGACCTATGGGAAATTATCGTTATGATTGGCACTAACAGGCCTGGTAGTGTTGTGGCTAAGGAGCCTCTAGAAACCTAGTAAAGAGACAGAAGAGGGTATGACCTAGGAGATACCCAGAAATTGAGTAAAATTAAACAAGAGCCAACTCAGGATGTTACTTTTTATTTTCTCCAGCTCTCAATTATGAAAGACACTATTATATTCAGCCTTTGAGTAAAGAAGGATATTTCGAGAAGGATATTTCAGGAGAGCATGAGTTTGAATTTATGAAAAATTTTGTCATTTAATATTAAAGAATATTTATATAATTGTCCATTCTTTTCACTTTAGTTCTATGCACATTTTAAGTATGGTTATTTTTAACAAGTTCTACATTGGAGTTTTATTTTCTAATCTTGCCCTTCTGATTGCATCATCTAGGCAAAGATCTTTTCTTTTTTTTTTCTTTTTTTGGTAAGGCAGTTGGGGTTAAGTGACTTGCCCAAGGTCACATGGCTAGTCCGTGTCAAGCATTTGGTCTGAGGCTGGATTTGAACTCAGCTCCTCCTGACTTCAGGGCTGGTGCTCTATCCACCGGGCCACCTAGCTGCCCCACAAAGAACTTTTCTTAAAAAGGACATTTAACCCTTCAACAATCCTCTTATGTACCAAAGGTCACAATAAATCAGAATCTTTTTCAGTTTAAGTTTTTTCCAGTTCAGTTCAACAAGCATTTATGAAATGCCTACTCTGTGAAAGGTACCGTGCCAGGTCCTGTAGATAACATGGATAGAAAACAACAAATTTCTACCTTTGAGGAGCTTTAATGAAACAAATTATACTAGTAACCAAAATGCAAGTTATAAAATGACTACTTATGCAGGAGAGATCAAATCTTTTCCCTCAAAGGTTTAAGAAGGGGAGGAATCACGCTCACTGGGGAGATCAGAGAAACAATCATGGTAGCTGAAGTACTAAACACCCTTTTAAAAAAATTTCCCCAGTGTGCCATCCAACCCAAGCATTACAGCCAAGTTCCAATGACATGCTTTGAAGGATATTAGGAGGTATTTATGTGCTTTCTTTAATTTTTTGAAAGCCTTGAGAGGGATGGCCGTGTATATAGATATGAAGAGATAGAGCAAAACTCTGGAGATGTTAACAGCTTGGTGACACAGTGGATAGAGTGCTAGGCCTAGAGTCAGGAAGACCTGAGTTCAGTTGCAGCCCCAGACACTTAATAGCTGTGTGATTCTGGGCAAGTCATTTAGCCTGTTTGCCTTAGCTTCCTCATCTGTAAAATGGCGATAATAGCATCTGTCTCACGGGGTTGTTGTGAGGATCAAACGAGATAATAAGTGAAGGGCACTTAGCACACTGCCTGGTATAAGTGTTATATAAATGTTAGCTATTAGTGTGCTGCTCTTCCCCCCGGGAATTGCTATACCCTGAAGCTAAGTGTTTTTATGGTGGTGGCACCAATTAGTTGGAGATGTGCCAGTAAGTATGCACTGTGACCAGATCACGACATTCTCCTAGTGAATTTAAGGCAATAGAAACTGTGCCATGTGGTAGGGAATTCAGCTTGGGAGAGACAAAGGGAGAAGTACTATGCACATTATTAAGTGCTTAATATTTGCATATCTCAGTTATCAGTTACAAAAAGCTATATCCAGACAGGAATTATATTCTCATCTAGAACTTTGAAATTGTATAGAAATAAGATTGAAAATTGCATGTCATTATTCCTTATGGTCTCTAACTGTAAGCATTATTAATAGGTAACATTTATATAGCACTTTAAGGTCTGTCTTTTCTGTGCCTGTATCCAGGCTTGCATCCAGCTAAAGGAAATAGTGATATAGTGAGGTGATAATTGAAATATGTTCTAATGTTTGCTCAAAAAGGCTTCCACTGTTGTTTTTCATTAGTACGTTCAATAATATTTTACTATTTTGGCATTTGTTTTTAAAAAGCTATTGATATTCAACCAGCATGCCTTGGACTTTATTGTGGGAAGACACTGATATTTAAAAATGGTTCAACCGAGATATATGGAGAATGTGGGGTAAGCCTTATGTTTATTTAGTACTTCATCAGTCAGTTTTTGATCTTCGTTGCTTTTTAAAATCTTTTCAAAAGTAAAATTTTGTTCTTCTGTTTTGCTTAAAAGTTTCCACAATTTATCAGTTCATTAGCATAAAAATGCATATTTTATTATATTGGTTATCTGCAGAATAATGTATTTCTTCCTACAAAGTTATATTTACTAAGCACATGTTAAATCATTTTTTATAGTCATTCCTAATTATTTTTATTACTTGCCATAGCATATTGTATATATAGTAGGTTAGCATTCCACCTCCAGAATATCCCTATGGAATTATTTTTAAATTTATTTAATAAGCAGATTTTCTATAGTCAACTACTTTAGCAAGTAGAGTCCATTCATTATAAAATATTTAGTAACGTAGTTATGATAAATCTTACGCAGGTTCCATGAAAAGAACACATTTTTGCTTTAAGAATGCCTTTTTTTAATTTCTGAAGGCTGCAGATGATTAAATGTTTGGACTGAAATAGAGGGTCTTATTAAGTAATTATGTTTTTATGCTTTTAGTTAATATTCCCAAAGTAACTCTATAAATAAGAAAGTTTTTCTATTTTTCAGGTGTGCCCAAGAGGACAGAGAACGAATACTCAGAAATATTGTCAGCCATGTACAGAGTCCCCAGAACTTTATGACTGGCTCTACCTTGGCTTTATGGCCCTGCTTCCTCTTGTTCTCCATTGGTTCTTCATTGAGTGGTATTCAGGCAAAAAGAGGTTAGCTAGCCTTGCTTATCAGGGAAAATTGTCTGGCTGGGGAAAGGATCTTCCAGGACAGGGATTGTTAACCTGGGATCTATGAACTTGTATTAAAAAAGCTGATAACTGTATTTTAGTAGAAATGATTTCCTTGATAATCCTGTGCATTTTATACATTTAAAGGCATTCTGGGGAGAGCCATAGGCTTTACCAGTGTGCCCAAGGGGTCCATGATACAGGAAAGGTTGTTTACCTTCAGATTATAAGTACTGATATAGTTGAATAGTTATTGAATAGTCATAGTAATCTAAAGCCAGCTTAATTTTAATTAATAAGGTAAATATTCTTTGTCTTTCATTTTAGGGGTTTAATTAAAGGAGATGGTTTTATAACTATATGTAGTATCTAATAATAGTACAGAACTTGCTTTGACTTAATGTTTATAATCACAAGATTGACAAATATTTTAATTTAGTGGAATGATAGCCTTATATAATTAACATTTGTTTACAATAATACAGATGTGGCCAGATGTAAGAAAATTGATAGGAAAGCACAAATAAATTGGGAGTGATTATTTGCATCAGAAAATGATTGTTTCCTTTCCAAAATTAGGGCAGGGGCTATCTTACTTTTCTGTTTGTATCCCCAGCACTTAGTACAGCACTTTGCTCAAGAGTTAGCACTTAACTCTTTATTCATTCATTCAGAATAATTCATAGAGGCTTCTTAGAGAGCAACTCCTAAAAATGATTTTAACTTAATGCAGGGAAGAAGATTGGTGGAATGATAATCTTAAAGATAAATTATGATAATATCTCTATAAACAATGACATTTCTTTGTCTGACTTAGAGATTTAGGGACTTATTCTAGGACTCACATTAATGGCTATTATGGCATGAAACTTATGTAGGCCATGCAAATAATCAGGGATAATATGTTTATCTTTTCCATTTCACATTTGGGGGACATTTAACAGCTGTTTGAATAGGTCAGGTTGAAGCTGTTGTAACTTGATGCAGTGTCTTTCCTCCATTCTAATTTGGTCTTGAATTTGATGTTTGAATAACTAGTCTGTGGTCTGACCATATACTTTGACCTAACCTGGAAATGACTTCTACCACGGTAACTAGTTATATCGTCTCTATCAAGATGTAGTCGACTACTGAGTTCAAATCTGGCCTCAGACACATAACATTCACTAGCTGTGTGACTCTGGGCAAGTCACTTAACCCCAATTGCCCTCACCAAAAAATAAATAAATTAAAAATAAATAAATAAATGAGTTCTTCTACACCAAAAAAAAAAAAAAAAAAAAAGATGCAGTCGACTGAATTTTTTGTGAGGTTGTTTAGTACTCACAAGAGTTAAACTGAAACACACCAATGTGTACCAGGAAAGGGAAATGGAAAGATTTTGTTCAGTTCAGTAAAGTTTTATTAATCTTCAGAGGTGGAGTTTGCCAACAGACCTGTACTAGGCTAAGACATACTTTCTCTCCTGAAAGAAAGCCATAGAAGAAAACTTAGACTGCATTCTGTTTACTTCCAACAACTACAAACATAATAACGCTAGCATCATACATTTATATTGAATTTTAAGATTTGGAAAACATTTTATGTATATTTTTTAATTGTCCTTGTAAGGATGAGGTACTATAGGTGTAATTATCCCCATTTTAAAAATGAGAAATGTGAGACTTAAAGAGGTTAATGACCATGACTGCATAGCTAACAAGGTAAGATTTGAACCCAGGTCCCTCCCAGCTCTAAGTCCAGCATATTTTCCACTAAACTATGCTGCCTCTCCCTTGTAGGCAGCTCTTTTTATATGGTTGATGAAAAGTCTTTGTTTATTAAACTTTGTCTTGATTTAATTCTATTCCTTAACTACTGTAATAACCTCCTAATTGATTTCCTTCTAGTCTGTCCTCCGGCCAGGAAAAAAAAAAATCTTGTAAAGCACAAGTTTTAGACCTGACCATATCACTTCCCTGCTCAAATATGTTCAATAGCTCCTTCTTGACACTGAAGGAAAGAAGGGAAAAAGCACTAACAAGTAAGGAAATCAAAAAGGTGGAGATGGGCAGTGGTCCTTGAGCTCGGTCTGGAAAGAAGCCAAGGTTGTAAGAAAAGAGGTGGGAATACAATCTTGGTATGGGGGGAGAGTGCAGTAAGGTGGGAGGCCATCTCCTGCTTCCTTACTTTGAACAAGCTGGTCCCCATTCTTGGAATGCATGCTGGCCTCACCACCTCAGAATCCTTAGCTTCTTTCTAGATAAAATACCAGTGCCTTAGCTTGGCATTTTCATTTTGGCTGCAGTCTGTCCTTCCAGGCTTATTTTACTTTACTCTCCTGTAGGCCTTCTATATTCCAGCAACACTGGCCTACTTGTTATCCTGTGAACTTAGCAGTCTATCCCCTGCCTACTTGCCTTGGGACAAGCTGTCTCCCATACTTGAAATGCAGCCCTACTTCGCCTCTACTCATTAGAATCTTTTGCTTCTTTCCAGGCTCAGCTCAAGTTTCCTACAGGAAACCTCCATCAGTCTTAGCTAGGTTCTCTCCCTCCTCAAACATAGCTTGTATTTACTTATCTATTTACATCTAAGTTTTTTTGAGGGCAGAGAATTTTTTTTTTGTCTTTGTATCAACAGCATCTGGCCTACTGGCTTACTGTCTTGGATGTAGTAGGCCTTTATAAATGTTTATTGAAGAGATTATATTCAGATTTTTTTTTGATAGAGATGTCACTGTATTTGAAACCACTAAATTTAAGAAGGATCAGAAATAAAGATGAGACATCTATAAAACAGATAATTTAAGTTATTGAGGGAAATGGACTTTAATTTATATAAAACGTTTTCCTAGGGGTATGTTTACGGTGTTGTGGCGCTGGTGCTTGCAGGATTTACAATATAGAGGATTGAACAGTTGAGTGTTTAGGATAGAACCTGATAAGCTTTTTAAAATCCCACATTCCTATTCCAACTTTGTCTTTTCAACATGGACCTATTAAAAATGAAATGCTTTCTTATATATTTATAAATTTTATGTCTGTAGATTTGTGATCTTACTGATATTGGTATGCCCTACATGGGTGCCTGATTGTTTCTTATCTCTACTTTCTTATCCATATTCTCCCATAGATGAACTTATACATGTAGTCTTAAGTAAACTCTTGAAAATGTACTTAAGTAATTTCAGTAAGTCCATATTTTATAGTTGTAATTTTTTAATGTGATACCACAGTAGTAATGATTTATCATATAAATAACCAAAAAATTTGAGCCTTTTTATGGAATAAAAATTCCTCTGTCTTATATGTTACAGCACACAGTTGATCACTATTGGAAATAATAATTTTGTATCTAAAAATATGAGTAGCACTAGTAGCCAAAAATGAAGTTAAATAAGATAGAGTAAAATATTTTTATTTATTCAGTGTTACCATCCTTATTCTCCACTGAAATTCTGCTTCAGTGCTCCATGTTGGCACAGAAGTGACCATCAATTCTCAAAATCATTCCTATAGAGATAAGCACTGGCAGGATCAGTTAAGCTGGAAATTCTTGGGAGGATGAACTTGGAGATGGGCTGTATATTGTCTGAGGTCCAGCCTAGTTAAGTTGAGAATCATCATTATCTCTACAGGAGATGATAAATATCACCACTCACCACAACTTGAAAGTTGTTTGCTTAGAGGGGTTGCAGTCTGAATTACGGAAAGTCACATCGATAAAAATCAAAGATCTTTAAAGTATTGAGGTAGCATCCTTGTCATAGAATCTTAAAGTTTGGAGGGACATTAGAGGTTATCTAGTGTAATATAAACACATTTTGTGACATCCTCAACAGGTGGTCGTCCATTCTGTGCTCATCTATCACAGTACTGGTGAACTCACTATTTCTTGAGGCAGTCCATTCCACTTTTACATAACCTCCCTTTAATTTTCACCTTTTGACCCTAGTTTTGCTTTTTCAGCTCAAGAAGAATAATTTTAATTCTTCTTGAAAACTCTCAGGTAATGAGGATAATATTCCTGTCTTCATCCTCTCCTCCACATATTTTGTTTTCTGGGCCTCGCATTCCTAGTTCTTCCAACCAGTCCTCATATGACAGAGTTTTGGGTCCTCTTGTTGTTCTGGTTACTCTCTTTTGGGCACCTCCCCACTTGTCAATATGGGGATCAATTTTGAACACAGTATTTTGGATGTTATCTTACAAGAACACAAGAGGGCTCCTCTCTATTTCTGGGTACCATAACTTTTATTAATGTAACCTAAAATTTCGTTCTCTTTTTTGGGCAGCTACTTCACATTGTTGATTCATTATACTGTGAATTACTAGTGTAGGACTTTATCATCATCCCTATTAAATGTTATGCTTGTAGATTTGATTTATTGTTTCAGCCTGTCAAGATCTTTTTAGTTCTGTCTGATGCCTTGCTCACCCAGTTTTGTGTTATCTATAAATTTGATCCAAGACATTTCTAAAAATATTTAACAGGGTCAAGGACAGAACCATGTAAAACATCCCTCCTGGTTGATATCAAGTCGTCAGTGCTCTCTGGTTCTGTTGTTCAGTGAGTTCTGAATCCACCTAACTAATCCTGAAATTACTTGTTCTTCCATGAAATAGATTCAGCAACGTGGACAGGAAGCTCCCAATAAACATTTTTTATGGTAGTGGTGGTTATCATCCTGTTAAAGAGGTAGAGATAATTTCAGTGTAAATTTTTACTTAGATTGTGCCATTTGCTAGTGTTAAATCTGGGAAAGGTATCTGTTTTCTAGGAGATTGATTTAAATTTCACATTTGCGCCTTCTCTATAAAGTTGTTTTGTTTTGTTTTTTTGATAAAAGGTTTCTGGAAATCAGATTCAGAAACAGCTACATATAACTTTATAAATTTCTTGCCACCTTCTTCTCCCTCTAGTTCCAGTGCATTATTTCAGCATGTAACGGCCTTATTTGAATGCAGTGTGGCAGCTATTGTTACATTACTTGTGAGTGATCCAGTTGGTGTTCTGCAGATTCGTTCTTGTCGAGTATTGATGCTTTCTGACTGGTACACAATGCTCTACAACCCAAGTCCTGATTATATTACCACAATACACTGTACTCATGAAGCTGTCTACCCACTGTAAGTATAGAATTCCTCCTAATTCAATTTATTTCATTTCACTTTAACATTTATTAAGCCTCTACTGTATATAGGGTACTAGTCAGCCACAGAGAAGAAAAATTTCAGATAATATTCAATCCCTGTTTACACTTAGTTTATAATGTAGTGGGGCAATATCATACAGACACACACATTTACATTACTTAAGCGTAAAATAATATGAAAATGTAACAGAAAGGTGCAAAGTACTTCATGTAAGTTCAAGAAAGAAAATCAATTTCTTAATGGAGAGTATCTGGAAAAGTTTCATGAATCATTTGAGTTGAGGAACAGAACAACAGGTAGGATTTCAACAGGAGAAGAATGAGACAGAGACATTGATAGAAGCAAAGACATAGAGACAGAAAATAGTTTAGTGTGGTTGGAATAGAGACCATGTGAAGGGGAGTAATAGGAGAGGTAGGAAAGGTAGGGTGGTACTATATTCTGAAGAACATGGAATGCCAGGCACTGGAATGTGAACTTTATTTGGTAGACAGTAGGAAATCACTCGAAAAATTTTTGAGTACAAGGGTAAATGATTGGATCTAGTTATAATCAAGTCAAACAAAAACATTTACTAAGTGCTGACTATGTGTTAGGTGCTAAAATAAAAAAAGTCCCTATTCAAAGATTATAAAGAACTATGAAAGATAGATTAAAGGCTAGAGAGGGTAGATGGGGAAGACTTGTTTTAAATGGCCTGCCAACTGTAAATATATGATCGTGTGATATAGTAAATGTTTAATTCATCAAAATATTTTTTAAAATAACTTGTATGACAAAATAATATGGATTAGGTATTCCTTGTATATTGTTATATTTTGCTTGGTAAAGAAAATAGGCTAACCTGGTGTTTGGATTCTAGGAATTACAGCCAGATGAGTTTTTTATTTCATGCTAAATGAAATAAGTCCATGTTGAGTGAATTTGAGGGAGCTGGAGATGAAAAAGTACACTTTAGATTAGCATTAGTGTTTTCTGTGAATAAATAAAACATTAATGTAAATGAAGATGAATCACATGGTCTTTTAAAGGTATTATGTATAGACTTTCTATACTTTATATACGCATATGTAACAAAATCCAAATAGTGTAAAGAAATGTTTTAGAATCTGTCCTAGAGGGTTCTCAAATTTAGAAGGATTTGCTAAAGTGATTATTACTTATAAAACAATTTCAGAGAGTTTCATGCAGTTATAATTTCATAGGCTATTAAAACTGCAGCATGCAGATTTAATTTTCTTTGAAACTTCAAGACTTAAAGAACTTGTTTGGTCCTGAAATTTTAGAAGTCTTAACTCAATTGAAGATTGTATGGAGATATAAAATGTGACTATAAAATTTTGAGATTGATTCTGTAAGATGCACATGAAAATAAGTCTTTTAAATTTATAAGACATCTCTGATGTTAAGAGGTTTATCTTAGAGCCCACAAAATAAGAGTATGGTAAACATAGGGGAAACGTCATCCAAAGAGCTTCACCAAGACATAAATCAAGAAATGCTACTCTGGTTCTTTTAATTACAAAAACATATTACCTGCCTATAATCCTTGTCTTAACTATGTCTTCTGAGGACCAAAATAGGCCTGTTAAGGGCAGGAATCCAAAAGGGGGGCGTTGTGAGAGGGAGTCAAGAAACAAATTTAAAAATTGAGGAAACTATATAATTTATGTTCTGCTAATTCAGTAAGAAATGTTTATAGAAAATTGTCAAAGATCTCTAAATCATCACAGCATTTACATAGGATTTCTTCCCATAATATGTATCTTTTTTTTGTAAATGGAGGCACACTTACTAACTTAGTGATAAACTTTTGATGGGGAGAGAAGAAGGCAAAGCCCTTCATAAGATGCACATTGGAAAGAGATGAAAAATTTCTTAGTTACTTTGAATGCAAACTTAACTGACTAGAAGTTTTAAGAATGACTATGGATATTGCAGTTGCATAAGTGCTATACATAAGTTGCATATGGATATTGCTACAGTTGCATAAGTACTATTCTCAGCTAGCCTTTCATACTACTTTGTGGTTAGGACAAGAGAGTCAAAATAGAAGGTTATTAGTACAGTGTAAGCCACTGAGTCTGAACAGTTAGGTCCTCAGAGAAGAAAGAAACCTGACAGATAATTTCTTCAAAAGATTCCAAAACTTTTGAGAACAAAGTAACAGGTAATTGATGCCCTCCTCTGATGAGACAATCAGTTAAGGGAAAGCTTGCTTATGGGAGCTCCTTAACATTTGAACAAACCAAAGGACGGGTGAGCATAAAGACACTTATTTTTAGAACAGCATATAAAGACCATATATTATACCTTGCAACATACTGTGTTGAATAAAAAAATATTACAGTAGCCCTATAGTAAAGAGCGAGAATGCTGTGGGCAAGGATAACACAAGTACCAAGTACAGGGGTATGATTTTCAAGCTGATTCAAGAATCCTAGGGTTCCAGGGCAGAAAGAAAAACTCTGTGAGGCACATGTTAACCCTGACTGGGTATGTAGCCTGTCTGTCACATTATTGTTGAATCCTAATCTTGTTTGAGGATTAAATGTTTTATTTTTGATGAGATCTGTTATTTCATTGATATAGGAAACTCCTGGTGCAAAAACATCATTTATGCAGATTGGCAACTCTTTTTTAACTTAAGAGTCTTAAGAGAACTGCCAGCCTTTTACCTAATTCATATAAGACTCCAGTACAACCTTTATAAAAGATCTGTAAACTTGATCTTCTCATCAAAGAATGAACTATTAATATACTAAACTTTAGGACTTTTTGATGTGAAAATGGCTGTGAAAGAAATGTTAAAAACTAATATAGTTTTCACTTAAAATTTTATTTCATAGAAGTACCATCATATTTATTATGCACTAATCTACCTTTTCACTTTAAATTTTATTGATCTAATTTTATTTTATAGATATACCATTGTATTTATCTATTATGCCTTTTGCTTGGTATTAATGATGCTGCTCCGACCACTTCTGGTAAAGAAGATTGCCTGTGGCTTAGGGAAGTCTGATCGATTTAAGAGTATTTATGCAGCACTTTACTTCTTCCCAATTTTGACTGTCATTCAGGCAGTTGGAGGAGGCCTTCTATGTAAGTGGGATAATGTCAGTGAAATACTTTTATCATTTGTACATGTAATAAATAATAAATGTCATTTTATTTCTTTAAATGTTTTAAACACCTTTACTTGATATAAAATGTAAGTTTATTTTAGAAGCACATTGGCCTTTGGCAACACATGTGACATTCCATGCCTTTAGTCCACTGTCTTTTTACTGAGGATAGAGAAGTTTGTTTAATAATTAGTTCTCTGGAACCAAGATTAGTCATTGCAATAATCCAAATTCTGATGTATTTTAGGGTTCTTTTTCTTCATGTTATTGCGTCTATTCTACTTTCTTCTGTATCACTTCATATGTCTTCCCAAATTCTTTGAATTCTTTTTCATCTTTTCTTTCATCTGGCACTATGATGTTCCATTATATTAATATGCCAGTTTGTTAGCCATTCCGCAATTGATGGATGCTCACTCTGTTTCTAGTTATTTGTTACCACAAGAAGTGCTACTGCAAATACTTTTTCCCTGCCTTTGACATCCTTGAGATATATGTCCACATTGGTATTAATGAGTCAGAGTATGAATAATTTGGCCATTTTTCTCATTTAACTCCAAATTGTTTCAGAAATGTTGGATTAATTTATTTTAGCAGCAGTATATTTGTGTATTTGCCTTTCCACAGCCCATGTAATGTTGACCATTTCCACATTTTATCATCTTTGTCAGTTTTCTTGATGTGAAGTGAAACCACAAAGTTAATTATGCATTTATCTTATTGGTGATTTGGAGTATATTTTCATATGATTGTAGATAGTTTACATTTTTTCTTTTGAAAACTTTATATCCTTTGACCACTTATCTGGTGGGGAATGACTATTGATGTTATATATTTGTGTTGGGGAATGACTATTGATGTTATATATTTGTGTTATCTTCTTATATGTTTTGCCAATCATACTTTTAAAATACTTTTTGTTGATGTCTTTTGTTTTTACATCACCTTCATTTCTGAATATGTTTTCCCCTCTCTCCTACCCAGTGAGTCATCCTTTATAACAAAGAATTAAAAAAATAAAGGACAGCAATTCAGTAAAACTAACCAACACAGCAACTGAGTCTGAGAGTATATGCTGTCTTCTACGCCAAAGAAAAGGAAGAGCATTTTTTCATCTCTTCTCCAAGGCCAAATTTGGTCATTATAATTGCACAACATTCAGATTCTTTTTGTTTCTTTGTTTTTGTTCTTTGTATTTGCATTGTTGTGGTCATTGTATTTGTTGTTTTCCAGAGTCTGCTCACTTCACTCTGTATATTTCTTCTCTGAATTCTTTCTGTCAATTATTTCTTATGGCTCAGTAATGTTCTCTTCAGTCAGTGGACCACAATTTGTTTAGACATTCCTCAACTGAAGGGAGTGCCCTTGGTTTCTAGTTCTTTGCTATTACAAAAAAATACTGTTATGAATATGGTACCTTTATTTCTATCTTTGACTGCATAGCAGTGGGAGCTCTGGGTCAAAAGATATGGATATCTTCATGATTTTTTTTATCATGATTCCAAATTGTTTCCCAAAATGGTGATACCAAGTTATAACTCCATCATATTTTGTATTGTAGTTATTAGACTTTGATAGATATATTTGATGCTGAAAAAAAATTCCCCAACATCTTATACCAGATAAGGAGACTTCCTTTTAGTAGTATGTGTTTTTGGCTTTGTTCAACTGTGTTTGATTACTTCTGTGTCTCATTTCTCTAGCCTATTCACTGAACTACTTTTCTGTTTTCTAACTTGTACTGAATAGTTCTTAAGATTACTGCTTTATAGTATAATTTGAGATCTGGTAATGCTAGACTTCCTTAATTCCTGTGAGGTGTTTTGTTTTGTTTTTTTCATTATTTCCCTTGAGACTTTACTTGTCATTCCATGGATGAATTTTTTATTAATTTTGTCCAGTTCTTTAAAGTAATCCCTCAGAAATTTGATTAGTATAACACTGAATCTTAAAATTAGATTGTATTGTCATTTTTATAATTTTGGCATAGTCCAACCATAAATAATGTTTCCCCAATGATTCAAGTCTTCCTTTATTTCCATATACTGTGGTGTTTGCCTTGATAGGTTAATATCTAAATATTTTATGCATTTTGTTGTTATTTTTAATGTCATTTCTTTTTCTTGTGTCCTTATGGTTTTTGTTATTCATATACAGAAATTTATATTAATTTTGGGCAGTTTATAATATATATTGCTATTTTACTAAAACTGTTCCTTTAATTACTTTTGTCTCCTTCAGTTTCTTTTTAAAATTTTTTAAAATAGTGATAGAGACAGTGGACACCCTGGTTTTACTCCTGATGTTACTGTAAAAGTTTCTGGTATTTTTTCATTACAGATTGTTCTGCTTTTCAGTTTTAGATAGGTACTTTTGATCATATTGAAGAAAAATCCTCTTATTCTTAAATATCTTAATGGTTTTTTAAAAAAAAATCTTGAGTACTATATTTTGTCAAAGTCTTTTCTGTCTTATAGTAATATGATTTATTCTATTTGTAACTTTACTAACAGAACCATCCTTGCATTCTTGATATAAATCCAACATTGTCAGTGAACATTTTAATATATTACTATGACCTCTTTTCTAGAATTTCATTTAATATTTTTGCATCAGTATTCTTTACTGATATTAGTCTAAAGTTTTCTTTCTCTGATTATCTCTCCTTGTTTGACTATCAGGATTACTTCATATGAAATGGAAAGTTAGGTAGTTTTTATATTAGGAGATCTTAATGATATTTTCTTTTTTTTTTTTAAAGTATGTTTTAACTTTTTTTCAATTGCATATAAAAACAATTTTTAACATTCTTTTTTTATAATTTGTGAATTCCAAATTCCCCTCCCCTCTTTTCCTTCCCCTCTCCTTGAGAAGACATGCACTTTTGATGTAGTTTATACATGTGCAGTCGTGTAAAACATTTCCATATTAGCTGTGTTGCAAAAGTGAGCACAGACCAAAAAAAAAGAAGAAAAAAACAAGAAAAATAAAATTTAAAAAGTATGCTTTGATCTGTATTTAGACTCCATCAGTTCTTTCTTTGGAAGTGGATAGCATTTTTCATCATAAGTCCTTTGGAATTGTCGTGGATCATTGTATTGCTGAAAATAGCTAAGTCATTCACAGTTGGTCATCATACAATATTGCTGTTACTGTCTACAGTGTTCTCTTGGTTCTGCTCACTTCACTTTGCATCAGTTCATGTAGTCTTCCCAGGTTTTTCTGAAAGCGTCCTGTTCATCATTTCTTACAGTACAATAGTATTCTATCACAATCATATACCACAATTTGTTCAGCCATTCCCCAATTGATGGGCATCCCTTCAATTTCCAATTTTTTGCTACCACAGAAAGAGCTCCCATAAATATTTTTGTACATACAAGATATTTTCATTTTTCTTTCAACTTTTTGAGAAACAGACCTAGTAGTGGTATTGCTAGATCAAAGGGTATGTACAGTTTTATGGCCTGCTGGGTATAGTTATTTGCTTTTTCAAAGCACATTGGTAATCAAACTTTTTCCAAGTATAAGTTAGCTATAATTGACTACAGACAAGCCTCTGTGAAATAGTTAATCATCTTAATTTTTTTGTTTTCTCTGTAATTTACTTAAAATGAGGATTTATTTGCTTTTTTCAAACACAGTATTGTTTGCCTTGCAGATTATGCCTTTCCATATATTGTATTAGTCTTATCATTGGTTACCCTGGCTGTATACATGTCTGCTTCAGAAATAGAGGTAGGAATCATTTTTACCTATTGTTAAAGATTTTACAGATTTAAGAACTGTTTATGTACAAGTAGAAAATGTGTAATAACTCTTGCAGCTTATTTTATAACCCTTAATAAACACCTGAAAAATACTAGCACAGTAAGATATAGTAGCTTTCACTTGTAGGTAAGCTTATGAAAGAATGTACTATAAACTCATGTTTGTCCAAAATGGCTAGAGGGGATGTTCCAGTTAGTGGAATATTCTTGCTAACTAAAACTTACCATATACCTCTTGTTATCTAGCACCACAGTTGATATGTTATCACAGAGAGCTGAGTCTTCATGTAATTGAGGCTTATTCTTTTCAGCATCAGATCTTTTTTTTTTTTTTCCATTTCCCTCCTGCCTTGAACAGAATAAACTCATTTCAGTCCTTCCATGGTTTAAAATTTTCTCAATCTCAGTACTCTCCCCACCAAAGCAGATTGCATTCCCTCTCTCTTAGTCACTCCAGGGAAGAGTTCTTCATTCTCCTGCCATCCTGCCAACAAGCCTCTTAAAGAATATATTGAACATTTTCTTTTAGTAACTCAGAACTGTCATTATAAATCTTAATTATGATAGATGGGGTGATACTTCCTTTCAGAGTCAGAGGTACATGTGGGTCCCTGTCCCCAGACTGCACGGTGATCCCATCTTTGGTCTTGGGGCTAGCTTCCCTTCTCAGGCACGTGAATGTCAGCTGCTTGCTCCCTGGTCAGTGTTTCCCAGCTCGGTTGTGGCTGCTTAGCACTTAGGAGCTCCTCAGGTCTCATTCCTGTGCATTAGCTTACAAGCCATTACCTGCCAATGACAGCTTCATGACAGCTCTCCTTCTAGAAGCAGAGGAAACCCAGCATTGTCTTGGGGTTTGCAGCTCTTCACTACCACAGAGTCTATTATTTTTTTTAACTTCCTAGTTCATTGTAGTTCTGGATATTTGAGGTTGCCTGAATTCTAGTCTTTAGATAATTGTGGTATTACTCTGTACCTTCCATGGGTCAACTCTTTTCTACTTAACTACTTTTGGATTTGTATTATCACACATACAGTTCACAATTTTCAGATAATTAGTGTATGGCCAAATATGACCTAATGGTAAAACTATATTGAATATTAGTCTGGCCTAGTGGAGTTGGGTTCAAGTTCTGCCTCTGACACGTACTAGCTGTGAGACCCTGGGCACGTCACAGCTTGTCAGTTCTTTGGGCAAATCTCTAAAAATCTAAGTTGCAGAAACGGTGCTCAGCCAGATTGATAGAGGAAGTTTACCCCTTCAGAGTTCTTTATGTCAATAAAGCATAGCTCCAATCCCTGTCCCTAACCTTGATGATTCACAAGATGCACGAGCATCTTTCAGCACCTTGGTCGTCATGAACGTTGTCATTGTGGTCTTTTTAAAAGTTTGATGATTTTAGTTTTTCTAGATATTTGGAACTTGAGTAAAAAGTTATTTTCAGAAACTTTGGGATTTAAATTTAAAATTTCTGGCTGTATGGGAAATGACATACTAAGAGATGCTGTGATATAGCTAAAACAGAAAGTGTAGTATTCATGTGTCCTTATAGCTTTTTCTGTAGTCAGTAGGCTTTCAGGGGTGGGAGAGGTAAGTGAAATGGTGCCTCCATTTTTTCTCCATAGGTACCATATGACTCCAGTTTAACCAGATGTGAAGAGAGCACTTGTTTTCTTATAGCTGTAATTCTGTCTTTTTAATTTGCATCTGTGTCAAAAGGGATTAAGAATATTTGTCACACTTTTAAAAGTTAATTTTTTTCACAGAGATCTGATTTTTCTCCCTTTCATTCCTTTCCACCTCCTTTCCCCAAGAAAAAGCAAGAAAAACAAAACCCTTTTTACAAACTTGTATAGTCAAGCAAAAGAAATCCCACACTGACCACGTCCAAAAAAATTTGTCTTAAACTGCACTCTGAATCCTGTATCACATTTTAATGTAAAAATATAGGCAATAGTTTCTGAATTCTGGACTTCAGATAATGTATAAGATGTGTTAAATTCTATCAAGCATATATCTGCATTTCTTTTTTGTTTTGTTTTATCATATATAGTCCTTCAAAGATCTTTTTCTCAGAAAGAAAAGGCTAATCATTCTCTTGAGCCACTGGTTACTCCATGCCTATGGGATCATCTCCATCTCCAGAGTAGATAAACTAGAGCAAGACTTGCCACTCTTGGCTTTGGTGCCAGCCCCTGCGCTGTTTTACATACTTACGGCAAGGTATACCGAACCTTCACGGATCCTTTCGGAAGGAGCCAATGGACATTAAGTGAAATGGAACGTATGCCAACAAACCCAAGAAGCATTCTTGATAAAAAACAAGCTGGGGAATCAAATGTAAACGTGTGAACATGCTGCTTTGTCATGCTGTGGTGCACCCTCTGCAGAGCTGATACCACCTGATTGCCAGCTAACCTTGTGGACTAGACTTAAAAATGCCAAGCAAGCATCCAACTGATACTTGGAAGAATTACATGAAAGTCCCATGATGAAGCACTGTGTTGTACTACTGCTTTGGTTATATTGCAAAAGGCAAACAATAGCCCTTTGTTTATTTCTAGCTTATTTTTTTGCTGTAATACAGAATGGTATTCTACTCTTAGAATTGTCTGTTTCCTAAAAATGAATGTGTAAATAAATGTAAGTTGATGGTGGTGTTATATAAAACATAAAAACAAATTTTTTTTTAGTTATTTATTTTCACCTGTACAATATTTTGACATAATACAAAGAATAAAATAGTAATATGCAATAGGTTTTCTGTTTAGATACCCTTATTGAAGAGATGTTGAAATTATTGTTCCTTAAAAAAAAAAGAAAGAATTGAATGAAAATTCCAAAATAAAAATTATGAAATTTTGTCACTTTAACTACATTGTCATTAAGGATTTCCTTGCCTGGCTAATTCTGGAAAAATGCTAAATTCTAAATAGTGATAATGCCATCTTTCCACATTTTCATGTTTTGAAGCATTCTAATCATTGTCCTATTAAATTAAATGAAGGACTGATGATATTTACTTAAATATTTCCTTTCTTGCATATCCAAGCTTTGAGAATGAAAATAGAGAACTTTTTTTTTCTAATAGTTGCCCTCTTGGTGGACCTGAGGACAGAAGTTAAGATTAATAATTGTAACCTCAAAATATAAATTTTAGCACTTCATATAAAAAATTTCCAAAATCTTTATCTATTGGTATTGCAGAGGTTCTTAACCTTGGCTCCATCGACCCTACAGGTGATCATCAGCAGATTTCAACCTTTCTTTTCCCTTTTTAATCCTATCCATTTTACTTGAAGCATTTGAAAACATTCTGAGAAGGGGTCCCTAGGCTTCATCAGAGTGCCTAAAGGGTTTGTGAAAAGGTTGAAGAACCCTTGATTTAAATGATCTTTATTTGTTTTTGTTTGTTTGTTTGTTTGTTTGTGAGGCAATTGGGGTTAAGTGACTTGGCCAGAGTCACACAGCTAATGAGTGTTATGTGTCTGAGGTCAGATTTGAACTCCGGACTCCAGGGACGGTACTCTATTCACTGTGCCACCTAGCTGCCCCTCTTATTCTGGTTTAAGGGAACTTTTTGATCCTCTCACTGGAGTTTCACAAATAATAGCAATGCACTGAAAAGCACTATTTTGGTAATTTTGTTGGTGCAGTTCAAATTCATGGTAGTGGTATACACTAGGTGATTTGGTTCTGTTTTGTTTTTAATTTTTTTTTTTAGATCAAAATGAAGCAAGATAACCCAACTGGAATATATATTTTCTTTTTTTTTCCCCCCTGTAAATATGCTTTCTAATTTAAAAGGTTGTTTCTGATACAAGTCTGGATCAGTCACCAGTGGCAGATAATTATCCTGAATCCCTCACTTACAACAGTTTTTGAAGTTTTCCCATTATATTTAAAAAGTTATCTGTGTCTTTAAAATTTTTGATTTGTTCAGAGACTCATGATATGTATCGATAGCCTGATAGATAGAAAATATCAAGGCTAGCTAGCAGGGCTTCATTTTCTGCAAGGATCTACTATTGGGAGTAAATCAACAATGAATTTCCCTCTTACTTTTTTCCCTCCTCTCCTTCCCTCCCTTAACCCCTCTCCCATTATGGTAAAATGTAAATGGGAGAAATTATATATAAGTAAATATGATAACCATCAAATAATTTTGGAGTAGTTGATAAACAATGTATTTTAAAGTTACTTTTTTAAGTAATAGCATGACCAGGAGAGAGTACAAACTACCTGAGTGTTGTTGGCACTACTGAACTGTTGAACTTTGGTCATTTGTTATTAAGGCTATTTCTTAAAGTGCTGATCTGTTGGGGTTTTTTCCCAAATAAGTTTGCTCTATGCCCTTTGTAAGATTGAGAGCTAGAAATCATTCACTCCAAACTCATCATTTTACAGATGAGAAAATTGAGGCCCAGAGTGACTTGATCTGAGTCACTGGTAGTAAGCAATAGAATAGAAATTGAATCTGGAGTCTTCTAATTTAGTATTCCACTTAACCAGACTTCATCTTTCATAATTATAGTATACAATATATTGCTAACTAGTTTAAAGATGCAAAGAGGCCTAAAAGTTCTTAATTTATTCATATATTTAGGTCATATGATAATTTGACCATCGATCTTGATTAAACAGTTGTCCACATTGATTACATTTCTTACTAGTTCAAACACCCACTTCCCCTCCCCCTCAAAAAATGGTTCAATGAGAAATTTCTGTGCAAATGATTTTTTAAAGGTTTCTTCAAATGTAAAACCTGCTTTGGTTATAATCAATACTTTGAATTTTCCAAAACCTAATGATAAAAACTCAGAGAATGGGCTATGTCAAATTATCTTGCAAGTAAATTCACTGTATTAGGTTAGTTCTTTGAAATTCTTTGATCTTTATTTTAAAGTAATTTTAAGTGGCCAAAAAAATCACTTGTTTAGCTCAGATATGAGTAATTTTATATTAATCAGTTATCTTACCTCTTTCCAGTTGTAGTAAAAAGTACATTGGGCCTTTAAGCAGTCATAGTACCTTTAAATGTAATAATCTTGTTACTATATATTTTTAATTAAAACTGTACATTGTGCTCTTTGGTCTTAGGTTGAATTTATTTTTTCAATTCAATTGCAGTTCTTGTTATTTATCATTTTCAAAAATTAACAATTACAATTTGCCTGTAAAACCCAAATTCTTCTTTACATCCCCTTTATGTCTTTATGTCTACTACATAGACATAAAAAGACGTCTAGGATATTACTGTCCTAAGCTGTCACTTGCTTGAGTAGGATGTTATAAAACTGTCTTTTAGTGGATCTTTTCTGATCATCCTTTAGAACCTCTTAGGACCTGAGTATGGGTCATAACTTATGTCCAAGAACCAATATATCAGGAAACTCCAGCTTGTGAACGCCCTAGTTAAAATCTAGCACCTAGATCTGACTATAACATTCCAGACGTGGTTTGACTCTTGGCGCAGTTTAGATGGACTTGTTTACCACTCCTGTTTGGACATTGTCTCTTTTCATGTACCCTAAGATGACAGTGGTTTTGGTTTCTATGTAACATGGTTGTCTTTGTTGAATATGTATTCCTCTAGAACACAGATTTTTTTTTTCACATGAACCCTTGTCAATCAATCTTCATCCTTTATTTTTGAAGTTAGTGTTTTGAACCTCTGCATAGAATTTGACATTTATTTCTATTAAATTTCATTTGGCCCAGTGTCCTATTATATCAAAATCTTTTGGAATCCTTCATGTGTTAGCTGTCCCTTAAAACATTGTGCTGTCTTTAACTTTTATTGTGTTGAACAAGCCTTTGTACAAGGGATGAATGGTAATGAAATGCTGAACAACATAAAGTCAACAAGTACTCCATTTCAAAATGAAATTCATCTGCTTACTCTTACTTTTGCCATTTAAATTAGTTTCAAAACTTAATTATCCGTGGAACTATCATCTAGCCTTCATCTCTACTTTGGCTATAAAAATTTCATAAGAGACTAACATGATAAACTAGATTTTTACAGATCTCTCATAAACCAGTCAAAAATGGAAATGAGATTACATTGGCAGTATATGTTCTTAATGAAGCCTATTTACAGATGCTCATAAACCATCCCTTTAATAATAAAATCAAGATCACCAGCCTATAGTTTCTAGATTCTACTCTTAGGGCAGGAAGTAGTGGAGAATCAGGACATTTGCCCTTCTACAATCCTGTAACTCCTTTCTCAATGTCCGTGTTTCAAAGACTACTGACAATGAGTCAGCAATTGATTCTGCCAGATCTTTCATTACTACTGTGTAAGGTTTGTCTAAACCTGGTGACTTGAACTCAAGCTAGGAAAGCTAAAAGCTCTTACTGTCTGCTTAGATGTGAACTCAATATGTTTTAGTCTTTTCCAGGCCAAAGATCATTCTCCTTGGCAGAAAAAAACAAAATGTTGAGTCCTGCCTTTTTTCCATTGCCTTTTATCTTCCTAAGCAGCATTTATAGCCCTTCTTTGCTCTTTTTGCCCCCAGCATTGCTTTAAAAAGCCCTTTTTTGGTTTTTCTAGTGCATTTCTTCCTTCAAGCCAGCTGCTCTGAGGTTGAGTGGTCCTGATTCTATTCATGTTGCATTATATACAATCCACTTGTATTCATGTTTCATTTGCCTTTCCATTTTCTATACTCTTTCAAAATTTAAAGTTACTGAGCCCCCCAATGCATCGTTGTCGTTAGTTTCTTTAGAATGTTTCCTCATTTCTTCCTCACTGGATTTGTTTCTCTTTCCATCTTACAGAATTCCATTCTTAAGGTTCCCCATCCCTTTTGTGCTAACTCCCCCCCCCCCCGCCCCCAATGAACTTCAGACATCTTACTTATCCCTCCTTCTGAACTATTTGAAATCCCCTCTGCACAAATGGTAGGTGTATATCAGGGTACTCAGCTTTCTTCTATCACAAATTTTAAGGAGAGATGGTCACTTCCCACCATGGATTCCTTTCTTTTCCAAATCAGTTCCTTTGTGTTGGTCAGAATCAGTTAAATGTGGCAAGCGTTCAAACCAGGCACTGGGGATACAGGTAGACAGACCACTGACAATGATACATTCCCTGGCTTCAAATAGTTTACATTCTAATGAGGGATACGTTACATCACACACACACACACACACACGCACGCACGCACACACGTAGGTGTGCCTTAAAGTAATTTTTAAAAAATATTTATTTTTAGTTTTCAACATTCACTTCCATAAGATTTTCAGTCCCAAATTTTCACTCCATCTTGCCCCTCCCCCCACCCCAAGATGGCATGCATTCTGAATATCCCTTCCCCTAGTCTGCCCTCCCTTCTATCTCTTACCCCCTTCTCTTATCCCCTTTCCCTTTTACTTTCCTGTAGGGCAGGATAGATTTATGTACCCCATTTCTTGTATTTCTTATTTCCCAGTTGCATGTGAAAACATTTTTTTTTAAACATGTGTTTTTAAAACTTTGGGTTCTGAATTTTCTCCCTCCCTTCCCACCCATCCTCATTGAAAAGCAAGCAACTCAATACAGGTTATACATGTGCAGTTATGCAAAACACTTCCATAATAATCATGTTGTGAAAAACTAACTCTATTTCCCTTAATCCTATCCCACCCCCCCATTTATTCCATTCTTTCTTTTGACCCTGTCCCTCCTCAGAAATGTTTGCTTCTGACTACCCCCTTTCCCTATCTGCTATCGTCTCTATCATTCCCCTGCTCTCTTGTCCCCTTCTC